TAGTTAACATACAGTGTTATATTAGTTTCAGGTATACGATATAGTGATTCAACACGTCATACATCACCCTGTGCTCATCATGGGAGGTGCACTCCTTAATCCCCATCACCTGTTTACCCATCCCTCATCCACCTCCCCTCTGGTAACCATCAGATTGTTCTCTGTAATTTAAAGAGTCAGTTTCTTGGTTTGTCGCTCTTTTTTTCCCTTTGCTCATTTTTGTTTGTTTCTTAATTCCACATGTGAAATCCTATGGTATTTGTCTTTCTCAGACGACTTATTTCTCTTAGCATTATACTCTCTAGCTCTATCCATGTCGTTGTAAATGGCAGGATTTCATTCTTTTATGGCTGAATAATATTCCATTGTGTATATATACCACAAATCCTTTATATCCATTCATTTATTGATGGATACGTGGGCTCCTTCCATAATTCAGCTATTGTAAATAATGCTGCTATAAACATAGGGGTGCATGTATTCCTTTGAATCAGTGTTTTTATATTTTTTGGGTTAATAAACATTAGTGTGATTACTGGACATAGGGTAGTTCTATTTTTAACTTTTTGAGGAACCTCCATACTGTTTTCCAAAGTGGCTGCACCAGTTTGCATTCCCACCAACAGTGCATGAGGGTTCCTTTTTCTCTAAGTCCTCACCAACACATGTTGTTCTTGTGTTGTTGGTTTTAGCCAATCTGACAGGTGTGAGGTGGTATCTCATTGTAATTTTGATTTGCATTTCTCTGATGATGAATGATGATGATGAGCATCTTTTCATGTGTCTGTTGGCTATCTGGATGTCTTCTTTGGAGAAATGACTATTCTTGTCTTCTGCCCATTTTTTAATTGGATTGTTTGCTTTTTGGGTGTCGAGTTGTATCATTTCTTTATATATTGTGGATACTAACCTTTTACCGGATATGTCATTTGCAAATGTCTTCTTCCATTCAGCCAAATGGTTTTCTAAAGTGGTTATACCAGTGCATACTCCCACCAGCAGCACTCTATGCATGTTCCAGTTGCTCAACATCCTTACCAACACTTGTTATTGTCTTTTTAATTTTAGCCATTTTGGTGAATGGGTAAACCATCGTATTTTTAATTTGCATTTTCCTGACGACTGATGAGGTTGAGCACTTAATTTTCTGTATAGGCTTTTGAATACCTTCTTACGATGAACTATTTGCGTGTCAAAAAAAATTGAGTCATTTGTTTTTCCTCTGAGTCCTCTGTTAGTTATCCTCTGTTAGCCCATTTTGTGGCTTTCTTTTGAACTCTCTTCATTGTGCCATTTGATGAATGTTCTCATTTATCTTTTCCTTTATGTTTAGTGCTTTTATGTGTCTTATTTAAGAAGTTTTCCCCTACTCGAAGGTCATGAAGATGTTCTATATTGTCTTCTAGAAGCTTTACTCTTTTATCTCTCACATTTTATATCTGCAATTCAACTGGGATTTTTTTCATGTGAATGTGTCTTACTTGGTTTTAATTTAATCTTTTCTTTCCTTCGTTCTTCAAGATCTGCATCTTAAATCCCAAGCACAAGCTGGGAAGCAGTTGGGTGTATTTGAATCCTGAAAGTGCTTTATAAATTAGTGCGGTGCTTGAATGGTCTTTGGGAATTGGAGCCTTCTCTTCCTACCACATCGTGGCATTTGGTTTTTGTTTTATGTTCTTTGTCCCTTTATTACTGGAAAGTGTAGTCTGCTGGAATATTACCACTTCCTTACTTGCCTTTAATTCCTAAACCCACAGCAATCTGGATTTTGGCTTCACTACCTGCTTGAAACCTCTGGCAAAGGTTCCAGTAGCCTTCTTGCTAGTTGGGGTGAATTCTCCAATATCCTTTGACCATTTGCAGGTCTTGAGCCTGTCTTTTATGTCTTTACATCTCTGTTCTAATTGTATGACTTTGGCAAGGCCTTAGTCTCCTTTTTGTCTCCTGTAGACTTAACATAGTTTCATTTTTGAAATCCAGTTGGAAAAGCCTCACTAGATATGTTTGGACAAAGCCTGTAAAGCCTGAGGACATGAATCTCCAGTTTCAAAGTGGGCCTGACTACTTCTCTTTTTTATTGTTTTGGTCTGTTTTCATTTGGTATTTGAGACCATATACAAATGATAACAGCCATAACTATGAATTAGATAATTTTTTAGAGTTTACATAGCAGCTTTACATGGGTCACTCTGAGGTAGGTATTAGTACTTACTACAGTTATCGAAGTGATTGAAAATGCAAACAGCACACTATTTGTTCTTGTTGGGAAGCACCCTACTGGGTTAGGTTTTAGAGTTTCCTTTTTCATGTAACCATCGTTTGGTGGAGAGCATCCAATCTGCGATCCTTTTGGATGCTTTCATCTTTCTGCTTTTCTGCTGGAATGCTTCTTGGGTTGGAGCAGGGGAGGAGTGGATGGGACTGGGAATGGAGCTGGAATTGCATTCTTTGGAGAGATTGTCCTGAACATGCCCCAGTAGCATTTAATGCATGGCTGGTAATTGTCAAGTTCACAAACTTCTGCCTCAAGAACCAGTACAAAATAGACCTTGATGCGTTGAGTGCCTGAATGTGATGAGCTCAGGTGTTTGCTAGGATCTGCTCTGAAATGATTCACTACAAGAAAAAGTTGTGGAGCAGGTGGGATTTGAAAATGTGTCCTTAGTTTTCAGGGACCCATTTGGCTTCAGAGGAACTCGTTTATTTTAACTAAATAGCTGGCTTAAGTTCAACAGATATCTTTCAATTTATGTTAATTTTTATTTTATTTTTTTGCCAGTAAGTTACTTGTGAGATTTTCCTTTGATTCTTTCATATCTTTCCAGAAACTTTTCTTAAAACAGCAAATCCTTTTTTCAAATGAAATGGGTATCCCAAGTCAATTTATGAAACAGACCAAAGCATTCTTTTATTTATATCATTCATTTTAGGAATTTGAATTTTCAGCATTTACATAGAAAGCGAGAACAGTGAGGATGTTTTGATCAACACAAAAACTTGAAACAGGTGAAAAAGATTGCAGGCTTCTTTTAGCCTGACATTTCAATTTCTCCATTTGAAAAAATGTGTAGTGTTTTTTTTTTTTTTTTAAGTAGGCTCCATGCCCAACATGGACCTCGAACTCACGACCCTGAGATCAAGAGTCACTCGCTCTACCGACTAAGCCAGCCAGGAGCCCCAAAATGTGTGGTTTTTTGTTGTTGTTGGTTTTTTTATTTTTTAAAGATTTTATTTATTTGAGACAGAGAGAATGAGAGAGAGAGAGCACATGAGAGGGGGGAGGGTCAGAGGGAGAATGCGGGACTCGATCCAGGGACTCCAGGATCATGACCTGAGCCGAAAGCAGTTGCTTAACCGACTGAGCCACCCAGGCGCCCCTGTTGTTGGGTTTTTTTTAAGATTTATTTATTTAATAGAGAGAGACACAGCAAGAGAGGGAACACAACAGGGGAAGTGGGAGAGGGAGAAGCAGGCTTCCCGTGGAGCAAGGAGCCCGATGTGGGGCACAATCCCAGGACCCTGAGATCATGACCTGAGCCGAAGGCAGTCGCTTAACGACTGAGCCACCCAGGCACCCCAAAATGTGTAGTTTTTAATAAAACAGCTTAACTTGCAATCCAAGGATATTTTTCAGTTGAACTGATTCATTGGTTTGAAAAAAGAGTAAGATTCGAGGGCTAATCTTGATCATAAATATAAAATTCAGACAACTCCCAAGTGCTAAAGCTCTTGGGCAGAGATGCATCACTCAGCATGTCATTGTGAGTTGTCCTGGCACAGCTGTTCATATGTGACTGCAGCATCGGAGGGACAGCCGTGCCTGGCTCTGTTAGAATGCGGAGCCCCCGTGTGCTCTGCAGTGTGCTTGTTCTGCTAGTTGTCGATGGGCTGGTGCAAGCCTGACTCAGCCTCTATAATCGGTACCAGTCCTAAGTGCTGGTTTATCCACAGAGATGGCCCAGGTTCCTCAGTGTCTTCAAAAGTCAGTTACCAAGTGGAGGCCTCTGGTGATATTACAGTTTGATATGTACATTTGAGTGTGGATTTGTTTTAAAATGCAGTTTTTGTAGTCTGCTCTCACTCTGGGGGCAATGGAGAGGATGTGGAGAAGGGAGGAGGGGGGGAAGGTGGGGAGACTGGAATTAAGAGATAATTAAGAAATCAGAACTGCTCTTGGCTCTTGATTATCTCTGGGTAGATAATACCAGTGAGGATTCAGAAATGGTCTAGGAATGCTAACCTTTCTGCAGACGGGTGAGTGAAGGAGTGTTGACTCCAACGCACTGCTTCAAATGACGTCTCCTACGTGAGTGGGAGAAGAGTATATGGGTTTGGGGCTCCACATGGAAGAGGGAGAGGTTGGGCATTGGGGTCGAGAGCCCCTCTCCTCTCATTCTCCACCTGAGCAGCTCTGCTGAGAATCTGGCTGTCTGTGGGTCCATGGTTGGGATGCGCTCATTTTGAGTTCCCGCTCAACTTGGCTCTTGGCTCTCAAATTCGAGATTGAGAGTTGTCAGAACATGTGACTCCAGAAGTGCCTTCAGAACCCCCACGGATCTATGCAGCAGTTTAACTGCAGTTCTTCTGAATCCAAATTTGGCTAATTATTTAGACTTGGGCAAATGTATTAGCGACAGGAAGTCTCTAGGGAGCCCTAGCCTTCTCTCTCAGTCTCTTCACTCTGCCTGTTCAGTCAGGGCCAGGGGCTGTTATTTTGCTTTTAATATATTTCCGGAATTATATTTTGAGTTATTCCCTTTTCCTTAGCATAAATAATTGAGAATCGATTGTACAGTAGCATGAATTCATAGAGTATACTCAAAATTTGGGTTTTGAGCCAGCTGGGAAATTCCCTTCAGTTTTTCTGAATTCCATGCATTTGAAGAATGTTGAACCAAGATGTTTGAGGAAATAAATTACAAATGTGACCTGGAGGGAAGTAAAGAAAGCAGGAGACACAGTTACTGATTTTTTTCTTTTCTTTCAAATTCCTTTGTTAGGCATCTGAAGAAGCCTCCCTCAGGGCATTGGAAAGTCTGATGACAGAATTTTTCCACGATTGTACAACCAATGAAAGAAAACGTGAGATAGGTAAGTGAAGTGTTGAGTCGTCAAGAGTCACTTAAGACGAAAAGGCCCTAGTGAGGAGGAAGGAGTTTGTTGCCTGCGCTAGTCAAGCCTGCTTGTTTCGCCTGGAATTCTTGCTCTTTTTGCTCTCATTTTGCTGGTTGGTGGCGGCTTCAAATCTAGCTGTGCAAGGACTGTAGTCCATGGGGCCCACTATCATCCAGAGTGATGGGTTTTCTTCCCTTTGGCCGAGTGTGGAAAACCCCTTCCGCTGCTTTGGTTCTTGAATTTCAGCAATGTTAAACTTACGTGAAAGAGGCCTGCGACTATTAACTTAAACAAAACCTCATGAAAGTGTCAAAATGACACGGTTTTGGTGTGTGGAAGTCTCATCCAAACCTTAACTAGTGCCCACAGGTCCTTTAACTGGTATTCCCTTTGGGGGCTTCTTGCTTCTTTTTCTACTATTGTCTCTCCCATTCTGCAAGTTTTGATGAATAAAGGCTTCAAACAACACAGAGATGTAGATATAATTACCTTGGGTCTTCTGGGAACCTCAGCTCTTTCTAGAACTTTCTTTTGAATTTCATACTCCTTTACATGAACAATATTCATTAAAGCATAGCATAAACTAGAATGTGTATTCAAGTGTCAGATCTCTGCCTCCGAGACATGAGACATGTTGCCCCGTGTTCCTGGAGTAATCCTTTTTTTCCCTCTGAGTCCTCACTTAACCCCAGAACTTCCAAACAAAAATGTTTTCTTCCCTATCTCAACCTAAAGGCTTTTCCCCTTGGATGTCTGACTGCTCTGTACTGACCTCACGTTCATTGCTTTCACCTCTGGAGAGGGCTTTTTCGGTCTCTAGGACTTGGAAGGCCCATTTCTCTGCCCCACTTGGCTTCTCTAAGTCATATTGGCCAGTTGAGTGTTGTGACTGATTTTTGCCTTTGGTCCAGAGCTTGACTGGAGTCTGGGTTTCCAGGTGGCCAGTAGACCTTTGGCTGTAGCCCATTTTCTCTTGCATTCTTTGAACATCATATCAGCTCCTGGTAGTTGTGAATTTCTTACCTTTTTTTTTTTTTTACTTTTAAACTTGGTGGTTTTAGGCCTGCCCTGTGCATGTTATGCCTATCTTTTCTTAGGGAGTATAAGTAGAGAATTAGAATATTTGTAAACGGGAGTGCTGACGGAAGCTGAACCCAATAGATAATCAGGCATTTGGCTTAGAAGATCCACTCTGCTTGCTTCCCTAGATTCTCTTATTACTCAGTTGGGCTGACCCTTCTGCCTCCAGAGTGATCTTCTTGTTAGTTTTATGCTACCAGAGTACCTTATACTTAAGTAAAAATACCACTGGTGATGTTTACCAAAGCAGGTGAAGGATCTGTCCCTTACATCAGTCTGCTGTAGCCCAACACTAATATCTTTGAAGTCCTATTTTTAGCTTATTAATTGAAATGCTTTTGGTTTTTCTCTTAATTTTTTGGTTTGCAAAGCAAATATTGCTCACTTTCAGTGTTCATGAATTAAAAGTGGAACCTCTGAACTAAAATCGTATTCTAATCTGATATAAAATAGCATTAAATAGGGGCGCCTGGGTGGCTCAGTTGGTTAGGCGACTGCCTTCGGCTCCAGTCATGATCCCAGGGTCCTGGGATCGAGCCCTGCATTGGGCTCCCTGCTCCGCGGGAATCCTGCGTCTCCCTCTCCCGCTCCCCCTGCTTGTGTTCCCTCTCTCGCTGTCTCTCTCTCTATTAAATGAATAAATAAAATCTTAAAAAAAAAAATAGCGTTAAATAACCAGATACTACAAATGTCTAATTTAAATGCAACCTAAGGGGGATCCCTGGGGGCTTGGTTCTGTATGGTGGGTGTGCCTTAGTTCAGTTCTCTTTGTACCTAGTCTTTGGAGCTTTGTCTGAGTGTGTGGGCTGGAACCACTTGCTTCTTTTTTGGTATCTTGGGAGAAACTGAAGGCTTTCCTAGTGAGGTGGGAGAAAGGAAGGAGGCCTTTTATTACAGGGGCTCCACCCACCCTCCACCAAAGGTGTGTTATTAGTGCTCTAGAGATAGAGCTGTTCGCAGGGAACCTCGAGGAACAATCTGGTCATTTTCACAGTGGAGGAAGCCGAAGCCTCAAAGAGGAGCAGTGATCACCTGGAATGAGACTCCGTGAATGAGCGGCAGAGTCTCTAGCCCAGAGTTCCTCATTTCCGGCCAGAGCTCATTCTGTCTGTTTCGACTCCCGCTCTGGGATTCTTACAGACTTTCCCTTAGTTGAAAGACTAGGTCATCAGTTTCCTTGTGTGGGATTTTCAGTGAGGCTGTGGAGTACTAGCAGAACAGTGATTTTAGGATTAGAACGGGCTGCTGTACTTCCTGCTTTTCCAGGCCGTCCTAGAATCTGTTGGGGTGTTGACGTTTATATATCTTTTTACTCTTAAAGTTTTTTATTTTTAAATTAATTATTTTTTTTACCCTTTTTTTTTATTTTAAAGATTTTATTTATTCATTTGAGACACAGAGATAGAGAGAGAGAGCATGAGCAGTGGGAGAGGCAGAGGGAGAGGAAGAAGCAGACTCCCTGCTGAGTCAGGAACCTGATGTAGGGCTCCATCCCAGGACCCTTGGATCATGACCTGAGCCGAAGGCAGACGCTTAACCATCTGAGCCACCCAGGCGCCCCACCCTTTTAAATTTATGTTTATTTTTATTTTTAAAATTTTTACCCCTTTTGTGTTGTATTTCATGACCAGAGCAGCAAGGTGACTAAGGGACAGCGTGTCCAGAAATGTGGTGACAGATTCTTAGTGCTTGCTGTCTTGGGGTTCTGGCTGATGCTACCAGCAGTCTTAAGGAGGAGGAAAATCATTTCTAACTGATTTGATATGGGCTGGGCTGCTCCTGGCAACTTCCATGATTGCTACTCTTATTTACGGACTGTTTTTGGTGTGGTATTTTAAAATGAAAACCAAATAAAGAGAATTATCCATCTTTAATTCTCTTGCATTTTTTCCTGCCCTGCATTAATTATATAATTAATTAATATTTTCTTGTCCTGCTTCTCTAGCCATCATTTTGTGTGTGTTTGTGTGAACAGTGTGAGTCCTATGGAAATATATATAGCCAGTACCCCAGAGGAAACAGATTAACAATTAGCCATAGTTTATAAGGTGAAAAGATCTTTTTTTTTTGAAATGATATTTTATAACTGTCCATACTTAAGTTAAGTAAGAACTTTTTTTTTTTTGAGGGGGGTAGGGGCAGAGGGAGAGGGAGAGACAGAATCTTAAGTAGGCTCCACGCCCAGCACGGAGCCTGACATGGGGCTCGATCTCACAACCCTGAGATCATGACCTGAGCTGAAATCAAGAGCCGGGTGCTTAACTGCCTGAGCCACCCAGGCGCCCCAGGTTAAGTAAGAACTTCAACAATGAAAGTTTCTCTGCCTAAACGAGTGCCCATAGGCTATTGGATTGTAGATGGCTGAACACACCATCCATGCCCATGGTCATGTTGTGTGGTCTCTCCTTTCTTTCTCGAAGACACGGCCGGATTTTTCTAGTTGGTTTTGGCATCAATCATGTGATATGGAGAGATGTGTGTTTAAAAAACTAATGTGACAGCCCAGCCTTGTGTTGATTTCATGTCTTTTCATAGCCTTGTTTTGTTGCTATTTAACTTTTCCAGAGGAGCTTCTTGATAACTTTGCGCAGCAAATAGGAGCCTGGAGACTCTGCCTATACTTCCTCTCCAGCACTGGGAATGACTATGTCATGATGTATAGCTTAACGGTGTTTGAGGTGAGTTGCCAGATGACTCTCTACTGTTTGGAAAAGTATTTTGTGGTCACAGTGCCGGGTCGTTGGCACTGGACTTGAGCTTCAGTGTGCAGACAGCTGGGAAAGAGTGGTAGCTCAGCGCAGGGGTACCTCCCAGATGCTGCCTCTGTCGGGATGTCTGCTGTGCTGGGGCACCTTTCCATCTTTGACGCCAGAAGGGTGAGATGGGGCTGGGTCAGTAGGTGGGCTGTTGGTGGTAACATGGAACTCTTCCTTCCATGTTATCATTTAAAAGAGAAAGATAATGAAAGAAAAACAGTTTGGGAGGAGAGATGGTACCCATAATACCATTATCCCAACCACAAACATTTTCATTTATTTCAACTGTCTTCCAATTTTTGTATTTCTATTTGCATCTTTTTTTTTTTTTAAGCTAATTCTAATCCTGTTGCTCATGCCACTAAGTGTTTAATACCATTGTTCACCAAGCCATTCTCCTATTTTTGAACATTAAAGTTGTTTTTGCCATTTTTTGGTGGCCATCAGAGGCAGTGGTGTAATAGAAAGTTTTACACATGGAGCTTTTTGTTTCTGTGAAATTATTTAGCAGATCTTTCCAGGAGTGAGAATGTTGTATTATAGGGTTTAAATATTCCTGGTACTCTTATTGCCAAATTGCTCTAAGCCTTTGTTTAAAAGCAGGGTTTTTTGTTTGAGTTGATATAGCTAACCATTGGATGAAAACCAGTTATTTTTGTGTATAGAATGGTTAACTTAAAAGATGTGTATTTGTGTTTCAGAATCTGATCAATAAAATGTGGCTTGGGGTCCCATCTCAAGATAAGATGGAAATCCGTAGCTGCTTGCCCAAACTCCTTTTGGCTCACCACAAAACCTTACCTTACTTTATCCGGAACAAGCTCTGCAAAGTTATTGTTGATATTGGCCGTCAAGATTGGCCCATGTTCTACCATGACTTTTTTACGAACATTTTACAGGTAAGGATTCACCTAAGAAAACCTCATCTCATAAATTGTAGAAGTGATTATTTCCTTGTCTTAAAGAGGAATTTTAAGATTAGCATTTTGGAACCGTAGTAGCAAGCTCATTATAGGATAAATGATCTCATTCGCTTAACTTTGTATTCTTGAGACATGTTGTGCCTTTGTGCAGTGGCAAAAGAGGGGGGAAAACCCAGTCTCATTGTTAACCTCTTGTGAAATTTTGTTAGCAAAGATTTGAAAACCTGTTAGGTACTGTGTCAGGTGTAGGGGTACAAGGGTGAGGCCTTCAATAGTTATAATTTGATGGGGGGGCTTGCTGTGCAAACAATAATTATCCAGCACTGCGGTAATTACTGTGGTGGCATAGCATTTAGCCTCCAGGAACTGAGGTATTTTCAGTGTTGGGTGCTGGAGTAAGTGGCCAGGTTGATGGGCCAGGGCCAGGGCCAGGCCAGGAAGGGCCTTGCTCTTGCAGGGGGCTTCGATTTGTAATTCATAGTCCTTCCTTGGGAGCTAATGAAAAGTGTGTAGAGGGGAGAACACATGACCACATTTTTGTGTTGGAAAGAGTTCTGTAACAGTAGGGGTCTAGATTGCAGAGGGGCTGGAGCCCTGAGTGTGAGCGAGACAGGGAGGACCTGGCCCTGAGGCCTTTCTGGTGGGTGGAGGTGGGGCACTTAGGACACCCAGTCAAGAGGCTTTGGTCAGTGACGGGGTGGTAGGGGTGAGGGAAGGGAGGTTTCTGTTTCAGGTAGCCGATTTTCTAGGCCAGGGGTGAAGGAAGAGGAAATGGATTTGGGTAGAAGATGGGGAATTCAGTTTGGCAGAAAGCGCATTCCGGATTTGTGTGTTCTGTGTATATCTAGTGAGACGTTGAGAGCTGTGGATCTGGGGCTCAGGAAAGAGATCTGGCCACTGGTCAGGATTTCGAACTCATCAGAGTAAAGGTGGGACCTAAAAGCCAGGCAGGAGATGCTGTTGTTCATTTGAATCCTGTGATGAAGTTGTAAACATTTTCATATTATTGAGATAGTTGTGGGTATGCAGGAAATGGGGATTATGTGCAGTTTATAGGAATAAAATTCTCTGAAAATCAGCGTCTCAGTGACTATAAGTTCAGGATTTTCTAGAACAATACCATTTTCTAACATTTTGTCTGCTCTCTCTACAAAGCATTTGAATGATGAGGCCGCTAAGAAAAAATACAGCATCCTTATTGCTTCTCTCAAATTTCCTCAAAGTGGCACAAAAATTCTTCATTCAGTTTTTTTTTTTTTGTTCTCCATAGTGATCCATTTATCTAGAGATTTATTGGATTGATGCTGCAAAGGAGATTCATTCATTTATTCAGTAAGGTATTTGTTGAATACCAGCCATGTGCTAACTAAACATCTGGTGGAGATAAAGTGATGAAACAAAAACAATGTCCCTGCCTTCGTGGAGCTTATAATCTCAAGGGGCAGACATCCATTAACAATAAGCAAATAAGCTTACAGGTAGTGATAAGTATGACGAAGAAATTTAAATCCAGGGTAAGGAGAAAGAGAGAATGCCAGGGGGTGTTATGTAGATGGGATGATGATAGAAGGCATTTTTGAGGAGCAGCCATTTGAGCAGAAACCTAGGTGGAAGTGATGGAGTGAGCCATGTGGGTATCTAGGGCAACAGCATTTGAGGCAGAGGGACTAGCAGGTGCAAAGACCCTGAGTGAGGGAGTGCCATTCCCTGAGGAATGGCAAGGAGGCTAGCGAGCCTAGAGTGGTAGGACATGAGGTGAGAGGTTTTCCTGGCTCTCTCTGATACACTTGCCTTCACTCCAAGATGAGGACAGTTGTGGTAACTCTCCATCGCCCCCATAAAGGGAGAATGCGTTCTTAGGTGGGCTAGTGCGGGGCATGACCTGTGAGAAGAAGCAGTGGAATGTGAGCCGGAGATGCACAGTGCTAGCCGCAGCAGGTGAGGAGGAGCCATGTTTCCACCCAGCTGGGATCACTTCCTGTGATGGAGAGCAGACATTTCCTGTCTACCCTTGAAGTATAATGTAATTACTGGTAACAAATGACAATTTGGAAGAGCATTTTTAGGTGAAGTGCTCATGAAGTTTAAAAAGGCTAGTTTTCTTTCTCTGTTCACCACTTCCCTCTTCCCACCCTTCAGAAGTGACTCTGCTTACCTCATGCAACCTTTGTGACTTTGAAACACCCCGTAGTGAAAAGAGCATGGAGAGAGCATGTGGGTTTGGGGTCTGTGTCCATTTTTGTCACAGATCATCTTTGATTTTAGCAACTCCTGCCCGTTTGGGAGCCTCCATTTCTTTCTTTGTGAAACAAGAGGATTGGACAAAGTGATCTCTAAAATCCTTTTAGTTGTATTCTCTGCTTCTCATTTATCCATGAGAACCAGTCAGTGGCATGAAAGCCATGTCTAGAATGATGGTGCTCCGTTGCTGATGGTTTTGGTTTTTTTTTTTTTTTTAAGATTTTATTTATTTGAAAGAGAGCAGGAGCAGGGGGAAGGGGCAGAGGGGCAAGCAGACTCCCCACTGAGCAAGGAGCCTAATGTGAAGCTCGATCCCAGGTCCCTGAGATCATGACCTGAGCCAAAGGCAGACGCTTAACTAACTGCGCCTCCAGTTGATGACATTTTTGATAATGATGACAAAGTAAACTTTTCTTTAGGTAGTGGCAAACAAGAGCAAACTAGTTCTGGAGTCAGTCTCACCATCCTACATCCTTTTTTTTTTTTAAAGATTTTATTTATTTATTTGACAGAGAGAGACACAGCGAGAGAGGGAACACAAGCAGGGGGAGTGGGAAAGGGAGAAGCAGGCTTCCCACCAAGCAGGGAGCCCGATGCGGGGCTCCATCCCAGGACCCCGGGATCATGACCTGAGCCAAAGGCAGACGCTTAACGACTGAGCCACCCAGGCGCCCCATCCTTTTTTTTTTTTTTTAAAGTAGGCTCCATGCCCACCGTGGAGCTCAGTGTGGGGCTTGAACTCATGGCCCTGAGATCAAGACCTGAGCTGAGAGCAAGAGTCAGTTGCTTAACCAACTGAGCCACCCAGGTGCCCCCATACTATGATCCTTTGAATAAAGCATCTAAAAGGGTTTTTTTCTGGCTCAGTTCCCGTCATTGCCTGCTTGCTGTCTGGGGTGCATAGTAGTTTGCTTTTGTTTTTAACTCTGTGATGGTTGGCTGGGTATCTATGCAATTTATGCCATCATTGTGGTGACCACATAGCAGGCCGAGGGGAGTTGATTTGGGGCCCCAGAAGGATACTTGCAGTTCTATGTGTTGGTTAGACCCTTTGTAGCCACCAGAGAAGGAAGTAGTTGAAGTTGAAACTGACCTCTGCTCCTTCTTTCCCCCAAACACAAGCCCAAACATCACACCTTTTAAAGTCTATTCTTCAGATTCCTGAAATCTGCTGAGCTGGACCTGTGGTCACATTGTGCCTGGGACCAGATAATTAAGGGGCAAGCAGCATAGAAAGAATTGCCATTTCTTTTCTGATATGGTGGTGTAATAAAAATCATTGAACTTTTTCAGAAGCTCACACTAAGAACCTGAACTTCAACCTAAAAGTGCTTATTCTCTGTTAAAATAAATTGCCAAGAATTACCTATGTTACGAGCATAAATTATAAATGTGAAGATGGTAAAGGGAAACACTATTTTGCTAACAAGCGTTCTGGACACAAAGCTAGTGAGGAAAAAAATATTTGATCCAGCTGTTCTTTCAGGTAAAGAATAACTTTAATTTTCAGTTGGCTTTTGCCTGGTCGTCTCCCCTTCTTCCAAATGAGAGAAAGGAGGGCTTTCAGCTGCATTTTCCATAGTGTAGGAATTTTTTACTTCTGGGAGCACAGAGCATTTCGTATCTACAGAAAAATGTATTGCCAAATGGTAATTTGGTAATACAAGGCATTCCCAGCTGAGAGAGTAAGAATGAGGGCTTTGGGGGGAAATAGAGACAAAACAGGTAGAGGAGAAAAACAGAAGTGTAAGGGGGTAGTGGGGGAGGAAAGTAATGACCTCTTTATTATTTTTATTTTTTTCAATTTTTTATTTAAATTCTAGTTAGTGAGCATACCGTGCAGTATTGGTTTCAGGGGTAGAATTCAGTGGTTTATCACTTACATACAACACTCAGTGCTCATCCCAACAAGTGCCCTCCTCCTTAACGCCCATCACCCTAAAGTATGGATTGATAACCCACAGGCCTCTGGATGGACAGAGATGCTTATGAAGGGTCAGTTCTTTATTCTGTAAAGAAAAGGTGCTGCGGGGATTTCTTGTTCCTCCCCTCTTGCATTTTCTCAAGTTGTTAGAAGTAGCCCAGACTTGCACAGAATGAAGAGAAAGCTTGTAGAGGATGTATTTGAAGTTGTAGCCTTTAAGAGAATTGATGTAATAGCATTTTCAACACGCCGCTCATGACCACTGTTTTTTTTTTTTTTTTTAAAGATTTTATTTATTTATTTGAGAGAGAGAGAATGAGAGAGAGCACATGAGAGGGAGGAGGGTCAGAGGGAGAAGCAGACTCCCTGCCGAGCAGGGAGCCCGATGCGGGACTCGATCCAGGGACTCCAGGATCATGACCTGAGCCGAAGGCAGTCGCTTAACCAACTGAGCCACCCAGGTGCCCCATGGCCACTGTTTTTATATCATGCTGCTCCTGAGGGCAGTTGAGTTTATCCTGAGTTCACACTGTTGAAGGCATTTCCTGCTCTTTGGGATGAGCTTTCCCTTGGTCTGCAGTGGGGAGAGCTGTTTTCAAGGGAAAGGCAAGTGCCCTGCGCTGCTTGAGGTGGAGAAGAGGCGTTCTGCCTAGCTGCCGTTCCCGGTGCCCTCCTCCTCCCTTGTTTCGTAGATTGAATAAACAGACAACTTATTATTATGATTAAAGAAGATGGTCAAGTGTTTCTTCAATTGTGTGTCTTTTAATAGATTGTAGCCTATAAGTCAACAGAATTTTAGTGGCAACTTGCTTTTACCAGTTTCTGGAAACTAAAAAATGAATAGTAGGTAATGCTTTGAATTTTGTGAAATTGATTAGAAAGAGCTAAGTAGGGTTATGCTCTTGAAGGTGTACCTTCTGTCTCTTGTTTAAGGCATCTTACAGCATAGTGGATATTGCCGGTGATAGAGTAACTAAAATTTGCTACGTAGGTATTTGCAAAATCATAACCGTAGTCGATGACGAAGTCATGGGTGGATGACGTGTATGCATGTTTCTGCTCTGCCACATGTTTAGTCTTGAACTTTCATGAAGCATGCAAAGCTTAGAAATATAAAATTGATTTAACACCCGAATGTTGGAAAGATACCACAAATTGGTTCACACATATCTCTGTCGCTAACACTTGAATCTGGGCAAAGTGACCAAGGCTCTGTTGGGATTGTGGACATGTAAAAAAAATTGTCATGTTAGGTGTAAAAGAGCATTGTGTTCATGGTTAGAATCTTAGTCCTTAGACTAAGATGAGAATACACTTTGGCTCCAAAAGGGACCTAACTGGACTGTAGAGCCCTGAGCGATGCGGCCTGTGCCTGCGAGATTCAGCCGTGGAAGGACTTCGAGGTTTAATGTTCCTCCGTCCTCCTTGTACTTTCGTCAGCTGGACAGCCTGCTCAGAACTTCCTTTTCCCTGCAGTTGATCCAGTCCCCCGTGACAACCCCCCTCGGGCTGATCATGTTGAAGACGACTTCGGAAGAGCTGGCTTGTCCCCGTGAGGACCTCAGCGTGGCTCGGAAGGAGGAGCTGCGGAAGCTGCTGCTGGACCAGGTGCAGGCCGTGCTCGGGCTGCTGACAGGTGAGCAGTATGGCGCTGGTGCTCTGCAGTCTTGAGCAGTCGTTCTAGTTGTGACTGTGCGGAGCTGAAAAACAGAATGTGGCATGTGCTGTCTGCAGCGGGCGCGGTGTCCGGCATGCGGTAGGACCTCCGAATGTATTTGTGACCTCTTTCCTTTACTGTCTTTATGTACTGGTCGGCCCGGGAACTGTGATTAATGAGGCTGCAGGGATGTGATTGAAATGCCAAGCACTGCATTCTCAGGAAGGTGGGTGGCAAGCACCTTATTGAAAAGGATTTGAATTTAAGATCAGGAGAAGTTGGAGAACAGGAAGATGGGAAAGTTGCAAATTTTGTGCAGAGAAGGAAGACCAGATGTAGAATCAGCGCCCTGTGCGCTAGGTTGTAGTTGTAAGTAGCATTTTCTTCGTCATCTTGTTTGTTTTGTCAGAGCCTTGTGACGGCTTGTAGGGAGTAAGAATAAACAGAAAGCAAAAGCAAACCGCAGAATGAGACCGGAAGGTGGGGCGAGGGTGGAGTGCGTTGGCCCAGTAGGGCCAGGCTGCTCGTGAGGAGGCACAGGTGCAGCCCTGGTCCCAGGACCCTTGAGGCACGGGTTGGGGGGTGGGGTGGGGGGTGGGGGCCCAGGCTTGCTGCTGGAAGGGATGTTGTAGTGAAAAAGCCTTTTAAAAAAAATCTCCAGCTCCTCTGCCTGGCTTTCCTCTTGGATGTCTAGGAACTTTTTTGTAGGGGTTACAGAAGTGCTTGACATGCAGTGGGCACTTAAAATCGGTGAAGAATGCTTGATCAGAAGTAAACTTGTCATTTGCCCCCTGTCCTTCCCTGCATCCCTAGGAGAAACCCACACCTTAGAGCATTTCATTCAGAGCACATTTATTGATGCCCCCGACTAGAGGTTACATTTCTGCAGTTAAGGACCATGTCTGATACCTCTCTATCCTACTGTGCAGACATTAAAATTTTTAAAATTGGGATTAGTTCACATAGCATAAAATCCACCATTTTACATTGTTACAACTTGGTGGTTTTTAATATATTCACAGAGTTGCACAGCGATCATACCATCTAATTCCAGAACATTTTCCTTACCGTGCCCCCCCCCCCCCCCCCCCCGAGCCCCAGGAAACCACTAATCTGGCTTTCTCTGGATTTTCCTATTTGGCCTTTTCATAAAAAAGAAATCATATAATAAGTGGCCTTTTGTGTCTGGCTTCTTTTTCATAGTGTGATACTTCAAGGTTTATCTATATTATAATATTAAATATTTTGAAAACAGTATTTTCAAAAGCTTTTACAATCCATCATCTTATGTGGTGGGTTCTGTAAAGAGACAGAGAGAGGAGTAAAACGCAGTCTCTGCCTCTAGTATGGGGTACTCTGGTAGGGGAGAAAGACAGCTAAAACCAGTGTGTTAAGAGTTACAGTAGAGGTATGTTTTAAGCGCAGGCAGAACTGAGCAGACAAAACTTTCTGGGAAAGATGACAGCTGGGTGTAACTCTGAGGGACAGATAGCAGCCATCAGTCTGGGCGGCGGGGGAGCAGGTCAAGTTTGGAGGGAAGGAGGAGAGCAGGTCAGAGGTTGGTGTGGACGGAGTAGCACAAAGTTCGGCGGGTGCAGCCTTGTGTGGCGGTGGGGCAAGGCCAGATGGGCCAGCAGAGGCCTGAGGCGGAGGTTGTGTGGGATGGTGCTGTTGGCTGGGTGAGGAGGTAAGGAGTAGCAGCAGGTTTGTGGGGGACAATAAAGGGAGTTTGGAACATCCGAGTGGTGTTGTCCAGGAATGTCCACTTGGACATACGGTGGAGAGAGGGATGTTTAAATACTGATGTTTGATCAGAGATATGAGATCATTTTTCTCAATCTGATTTTTAAAGGTTAGACTTCATTTCTCTCTTAAACTCAGTTTCTCCTTTCTTGATAGGTATCTTGGAGACTGTTTGGGACAAACACAGTGTCACTGCTGCCACCCCACCACCATCCCCGACCTCAGGAGAAAGTGGTATGGTCTGCCCACCACATACGCTCTTACTCTTTTTAAATGCAGTTTGGGGTCTCGATGGGGTAGCAATTGCTTACCTATGCCAGATACAGATGCTGATTCTTCCTTGATCTATTTTTGGCCTTTCTGCCCATGTTTTCTAAGGAGCTAGCTCTGCTTAGTTCTTCGGAAGTACTTGTACTTTCTAATATATTTTGAACAACTTAGGTTGTTTCTTCCTTACCCGTCAGAAAGGTGACATCTTTCCTTTGATCTTCTGTCATCCACCTCCATCCCCTTCAGTTTACAGCTCTTGGTTGTCCCTTCTGGTTTGTTTTTTGCTTTTTCTCAGATTTCATGGTGTCTTGCTCATGCTGGGGTTAGCATGTGCCCGTGAGCTTGATAGGTCTGCTGTGCAGTTACGCAGGGGTCAAGGTCGCAAGAGCTGGTTGGCTTCCTGAAGGAGGAGGGGGGAGGGGGAGGAAGAGGATGTGGAGGGCTTTCTTCCTTACTTGGGGCTTAGGGAGGATGAGGTCAGTTCAGAATAATTTGATCAAGCGTGGGCATATTTGCAGTGTCGGTAACTCGTTTACTGGCGGCTAATTATCCACGGTTATATTAATACCTTTTTCAAAAGTCAAAGTGCAGTTTGCCTAAAAATGGCTACTTTCAATGGTAGATAGAAAGAGGAAATTGTGTCTGAGCAGAAACTTTTAGTTTCTGAATGCTTGTGTTTTACACTGAATGATTACAAATGCTTTTCAAGTAGAGTACGTCCTGTGAACTGCACACATTTTTTCCTCTACCGTAAAGGTTGGTATGGCTAATGAAAGATTTCCCCATCTTTCTCCTTTACCCCAGGAAACAGGCTGTTGAAATCAGACCCCTCCAAGCCTGAGCTGTTTCATGTAGCCTGTTGTTGTTAGTAAGTGGAAGTTAAAATTCTTTCAGAGCTACTGTGGAGCTGAAAATATAGCGTGAAGTTTTGAGGACAGCTCATAGTATACTAATTTATTCCAAATTCCATTTATCATACTGGGATTAAAAACTGTTAGAGAGTTATTTGTCACACTTGTTAGATTAAACACTATTACAGAGTTTGAGAGTGTATTAAAAGCCGACAGGGATTTGAACTATTTGTACTTGGTAGCTTTCATTTTCAACGTGGATATTTGAGATGATTTAGCAGATTTATATTTTGCAATATTTGATGATTAAAGAAAAAAATTGCAAATGAGGCAGAGCTTTGATTTTTATGAGTGTACGCTTTGGAATCTCCTGCAGTTTGGCTGATCTTAAAATGTGTCATTTCATTTAAATAATAGTTTGCAAAGATTAGTTCTGTTGGATTGGATTTGGTTTTAGGTAGGTGAATACTGGCTTAGCATTCAGTTTGGAGTTAGCAGTTTGCTCTAGTAAAACTTGTTTTTCAGAAATCATTTTCCAATGCCAAAAGCTGTGTGTTTTAGTTGGCTTTGTTCAGCTGCATGTTCTGAGTAAACTCCATTTCTGCTTTGATAGACCTATTTTCCTGGAGGCCAGGTTGGGGAATATCAGATAATACAAATCAGAAATATATGCTTGCCTCTCTTCTGCATTGCTTAGGTTTTGTTGATGAGGTAAGGTGAAACACAGTATGAACTAACTTGACATTTCCATATAAACAGAACCTAAAAATGTGGTGCGTACTTCTTGAAAATTGCCTATCAGGCACTATTAAAACATTTTTGAAGTCTTGAGTTTTAGTATTTGAGAAAAGGCAAAATAAATGGAGACTGCTGGGGCCCTGGGAAGTGAAGTAGGCTTTAAAGCTGGCGTGCTTCTCTTTAAAAAACAATAGGCTTACACGTTCATGTGATACGCCTTTTTTCTGTTTATGACGGTTGCAAGTGAAGCTGTCAGAACTTGTTCCATTATTTGGACAGTGCTGATGATTTAATTAACATTTGTTTCGATGGTTTTGCTCAACTGCCTCTGTGCACTGAAGACACCAAGTGAAGCAGTAAAACTTCTAAGAAGATTGTTTAGCTTTAGTGACCATAAGCTCACTATTGTGGAGGAAAATCATTCTGAGAAACCTTAGTGAGTAAAGGAAACCCAGATACTTCGTCCCGTCACCACCACCCCCCCCCGCCCCCGTCGGCACACCCGAATCCCCACACAGCTATCTGGCAGCCCCTTGGCTTTTGGCATTTTTTTCCTCATACGCTTTCTGGTAACATCGATTTTGGTCTGATCACTTTCAAAGAACAAAGCCCAGGAACTAGTCCCTGCAATGGCTACTCTAACAGTCTGGATATAGAAAAAGCTTTGAAGGGCGCTTGTGGTCTGCTGCTCAGAGTAGTTCCTCAAAGTGTTGCCTTGTCTTTTAAACTGGCCTCACTAGACCAGAATCCTGTGACATAGATGATGGTTTTATCTCTTGTTTACAAACAAGGAAACGGAGGCTGGGGTTGCGGGGGGAGTCCCATCGCCAGTAAGTGTCAGAGCAGGGATGGAAACCCATCTGAGCCTAGGTGCGTGGTCTTCGTCCTAAGTCTCCTTTCTCCGCCACTGTCCCCATGTCTGCTGGCCTCCTCCTTCCCCTGGCTTAGGGCCCTGGCTCTGCCATCTACTCTGTGCGTTCCCTGACTGCTGGCCCCTGTGCTGGGAAAGGAGAGGAGGGGTCCTCTGAGGACCTCTGCATGCTGGGGCTGGGGCGTCCTGCTGCACTGGGGCAGCCTCAGCCCTCTTCCTTCCTTAGCCTCCTCTTGTCCTCACCTCTCTTTGCTTGGACAAGTAGGGGGGCAGGGAGGAAGCTGTGAACAAAATGAAATGGTGTAAATAACTGAGATTCTGAGTTTGCTTTCGTCGTTCTGTGATAAAACTTGAGAGCCTATCTTTCCTGTCTGCATGGTGCATTCTCTTGAGTATGGATCTGTATATATACTGGCAAAGACAGGTTTCTGGGGAGCTCAGATTGGTGGAGGCCAGTTTATACCCTTCTGTTTTCTCCCAGACTTTGCAAATTGCAGGTCTTTGTGCACTTGCAAATCTTTCCACGTATCCCCTTGTAAGTATTCCCTTTTAAGCTACTTGTAGGAAGATGGGACTGGGGAGGGCCGCTCAACTCCCGTGAGCTCATTTTATCCCTCAGGCTCCTTGAATGGAGTGTTTCCCCATTTTGCTGGATTGAGGCTACAGTGAGATCCGTGGTTCTTATTTGGGGCTATTTTTGTCCTGCAGTGGCTTTTAGGCAACATGGAGAAATATTTTAGCTAACATAACGAGAGGAGAGGGTACTACTGGCATCTGATGAGTGGAAGCCATGGGTCCTGCTAAATATCCCACGATACACAGAACAATGAAGAATTAATTATCCAGTGCCAAATGTCAGTAGTGCCGAGTGAGAAACTCTGAGTTAGTAAATGTAGAACTGAATAGAAAACATTAAATTTTAATAATTAAAAAAGTAAAAAGCCAAAGGGATCTTTGCATGAATGCTTAACCCGTCTGGGTTGCCTCCAACTGAGTAAATGCAGCAGAGTTGTCCACGACCTCTTGGCAGGGGTTGCGTACTGCCTGATTCAGAGAAGCTGAAGTTGTCCGCAGGCTTGATTATAATCAAGGTATACTCTCTTGCATAGGTAGCTTGTTGAAGCTCTCTTGAGTTTGCATTGGAAATGCTGCAGCATGAAGCAGAGTCCCTCTGTTCTGTGGGAATTCCTTCCCACTTCGATTAAAATACAAGTCTTGAAAAATTCTTTGTAACCTACTAAAAGACTTTGGAACATTTAAAGTTGAATAAAACCATTTTCATCGAGAACAACCTTCAGAGATTCTTTTTTTGAGGGGAGAAAAATAATTGGTCATCTTATCTACTTCAATAATTTTTACCTTGCATCACCCCGTTCAGCATTTGTCCTTGTGCCCGTAGCTTTCTGAAGTTGCGGTCCTGGCATACATGCTGTTTTACTCAGGACTTCGGATCATGCATATTTTTCTGCATTTGAATATTAGCTCTCTTCCAGATCACTTTTCCTGGCTGCATGATCTTTCTAGTTGACCTGCTTTCTGGGAAGAAGCATAGGCTTAGGCGCCAGACCTAGGGGCCAGACCTCGGTTTCCGTTTCCGCTCTACTTATTAGCTGAGGAACATGGGGGAAACGCTTAATATCTCTGTATCTTAGTTATTCTAACAGTTTGTAAATGCAGATAATAATACCTACCTTAGAGCTGTGAGCATGAAATGAGAATACGTATGTAAAGTGCTTAGTGCTGCGCTCTGCGTATAATAGCACATCAAATGGGAGCTGTTTGTCACATAATTATTGTTGTTTTGCCCCCCGCCCCGCTTAGCAGTCCTATTCTGGAAAAATTCTTCTGAGCTAAAGAGTAGGGACAACTTTTTTGTTTTGTTTTCGTTTTTAAAGCCACAGTTTATTTCTATTAAAAATGTTCAAGAGACTTTAAATAGGTCCAGGGGCCCAAAGATGTCCAGGTTTAATAGAAGATCATACTGAGATGGTGTCTTTTGGTTCCTCCTTTGCTAAAGCCTCCATTTGATTCCGGTTAATTATTTGCCCCGATAATTCTTCTAGTTGGGTAGCGGTGATTTCTCTGACTCCAGCATCTTCGGTAAATGGCCACCGGTTCATGAATGACGAGAAAAGCAATGCCAGAAACTGTCACTGTCATTGAATGAGAGAAAGTTGTACATATGACTCAAGTGGACAGCCACCACAGCAATTCAAAAATCACCTTATTAATCCAGTAGCAAACTGGATAAGTATTTGCAGATTGTACTTGAACATCCTTGCGTTACTCTTTGAAACCAGGTCCTCTGATTATCAGCGTGGGTAGCTGAGATCATGATGAGTCTCATCTAGTATTAAATGCAGCTCTTTCTCGGGGTGCCTGGGTGGCTCAGTTGGTTAAGCATCTGACTTGGCTCAGGTCACGATCTCATGGGTCATGGGATCGAACCCATGTGGGCTCTTCCGCGCTCAGTGGGGAGTCTCCTTGAAGATTCTCTCCCTCTACCCTCCAGTGCTCTATCTCTTCTCTCTCAAATAAGTAAAATCTTTTGGAAAAAATGCAGCTCTTTCAGACAGAAGCCGGTGAACACCTTGCAAGATAAGATACCAGGGGACAACTTTTTGATCTACTTTTAACAATAGAAATTAAACCCCTTATTAATAAATCACAAAATCCTCATTTTAATGGCCGAGGAGATGAGGCTGAGAAAGGTTAACTAATCTGTTCGTGTTCATCCCGCATTAGTGTAAGGCAGGAGTTCTCAATAGATCTGGGGGCCCGGAGGTCCCACAAGCCCTTTCAGGGGTCCCAAAGGTCAAATATATGTTCATAAAAATACTAAGACGTTGTTTGTCATTTTTACTTCTCTGAATATACTGAATAAAACTCATTCAGATCCCACATTGCAATTAACCTTTAAGAAATTATTACTAGTAAAATTTTTATATCGTATTAAAGAACAGATATAGTCACCTAGGAAGGCGGCAGAAACGTTTTAGTCTTTGTCAGTTGCATATCTCTGTGAAGCCGTTTTTTTAATATACTTCAGCGAAAACAGCATACTGTAGCAGATTGAAGCAGATTAAAGAATCTGTCTTCTTTTAAGCCAGACAGACATTACAGAGATTTCCAGAAATGTACAGTGCTATTCTTCTCACTTATTTGTTGGCGGCAAACTACATTTTCTTCATTTAAAAATATTTTATGCTAACATGTAATGCGTTTATTAAGTGAATATTTGAAATATTTGAAAACTTTTTAATTTCTATTTTTTATTTAATTTCTATGTGACGAATATCAACAGAAATAACCTGCATACACAAAAGTTCTTTGACATCCTCAATAATTTTTAAGAGTATAAAGGGGTTCTGGGGCCAAAATGTTTGAGAACTGCTGCTGTGTAAAGCACAAAATACAGTGTAGAAATGTAGCCAGTATTCCACCATCCAGAAATAACACCATTCCAGGTGCCTCTTTATGTGTAGTTACAGAGACAGTAAGCTAAATAAAAAGACAAAGTGGCATCATATACATTTTTATTTTTTTATTTTTAGTTTTTTAGAGATTTTATTTTTTAAAAATGTATTTATTTGTCAGAGAAGGAGAGAGGGAGAGGGAGAGAGCGAGCATGAACAGGGGATGGGTGAAATAGGTGATAGGGATTAAGGAATACACTCGTGATGAGCACAGGGTGATTAAAATAAAAACTTAAAAAAAAAACCACCTAAAAAAATTAAGCAAGCATAAGAATCACTTCTTGGAGAGTGTGTAAAAACAGGTTTTTGGGCCACACTCCTCTAGGATCTTCCTCAGTACATGTGGGGTGGGGCCTGATAATTCGTATTTCTGACAGGTTCCCAGATTGTGCTGAATGGTGCAGCAGGTAGAAGGAGAAGCAGGCTCCCTGCCGAGCAAGGAACCCAACATGGGACTTGATCCCAGGACCCTGGAATCATGACTTGAGCCAAAGGCAGAAGCTTAACCGACTGAGCCACCCAGGTGTCCCTAGAGATTTTATTTTTAAGTAATCTTTATACCCAACATGGGGCTTGAACTCACGGACCCTGAGATCAAGAGTCCCTTACTCTTCTGACTGACCAGCCCTCAGTTTTATTTTTAATAAAAACAAATTATAATTTTACCTGAATTTAACGGGAGGTTTTAAAACAAAAGGGATTACTTTTTCCACAAGGGATGTTAGTTTGTAAAAGATACCTCTAGGCTTAAGAAAAAAAAAAGATGAAAACCAGTTCCTTACTACATGTTTTAATTCTAGCCCATATATTTTGAGACTTCTTGCTTGTGAAAGAGGATTGGCTAGCACACCCTCTGTGATTCCTACATCTGTTTAGTCTTGATTCTATATTTAATTCAATGCTTGCTCTGGTCCCCTTGCCACAGCAGCCCCCTTCCTTAATTCTTCATTTTTATTTATTGCTTTATTTGCATGGTTTCACTATTCAGTCTCCTCCCTAAGAAGAGTTTGGGAGGCCGGGGGTGGTGCCTGGGTGGCTCAGTCGGTTAAGCGTCTGCCTTTGGCTCAGGTCATGATCCCGGGGTCCTGGATCGAGCCCCGCATTGGGCTCCCTGCTCTGCGGGGAGCCTGCTTCTCCCTCTTGCCCCCGCCACTCGTGCGCACACTCGCTCGCTCTCTCTGTCAAATGAATAAATAAAATCTTAAAAAAAAAAGAGAAGAAGAGTTTGTGGGCAATATATTATTTGAGCTTCTGTGTTTGAGAAGATGTCCTCTTCCTTGGTACTCAAAGGAGAGCTTTGGGTTAAGTTACTCCCTGCCTCAGCACTTGTGGACATGGTACTACTGTTGTCTGGCTTCTTGTGTGCTGTGAGGAAGTCTGAATGTGGTGTTTTCTCCTTTGTGTATGTGCTTTTTTGGCTTACATTTCTTCCTTATTCCTAAAATTCTTAGTATTGATTAGCTTTTATCATTTCTTCTTGGGGCAGAATAAGCCCCTTTCTTTTGTGTACACACCTCTTTATTTCAGGTAAGTTTTTTTCTTGTTATAGTTTTGAATATTTGTCCTTTGTCCTCTCTAAAATCATTTTATAGCTTTTTTGCAAGCCCATTTCAGTTTACATGATTTTCTTTAGTCTAATGCTTCTCAAAAGTTAAGCAAGCATGTTGGAGGTTCCTCAGAAAGTTCAAAATAGAACTACCCCACCATCCAGCAGTCGCACTACTGAGTATTTACCCAAAGAATACAAAAACATGAATTCAAAGGGATAATGCACCCTTATGTTTATAGCAGCGTTATTTATAATAGCCGAGATATGGAAGCAGCCCAAGTGTGTATCAATTAATGAAGATGTGGTATATATATGCGATGGAATATTGTTCAGCCATAACAAAGAACGAAATCTGGGGCGCCTGGGTGGCTCATTCATTAAGCGTCTGCCTTTGGCTCAGGTCATGATCCCAGGGTTCTGGGATCGAGCCCCACATTGGGCTCCCTGCTCCGCGGGAAGCCTGCTTCTCCCTCTCCCACTCCCGCTGTTTGTGTTCCCTGTCTCGCTGTGTCTCTCTCTGCCAAATAAATAAATAAAATCTTTAAAAAAAAAATGAAATCTTGCCATTAGCAATGACATGGATGGAACTAGAGAGTATAATGCTAAGTGAAATAAGTCAGTCAGAGAAGGACAAATACCATATGATTTCACTCCTATGTGGAATTTCAGAGCAAAACAAGCGAGGAAAGGAAAAAGAGGCAAACCAAGAAACAGACTGTTAACTGTAGAGAACAAACTGACGGTTACCAGAGGGGAGGTAGGTGGGGGATGGGTGAAATAGGTGATAGGGATTAAGGAATACACTCGTGATGAGCACAGGGTGATTAAAATAAAAACTTAAAAAAAAACCACCTAAAAAAATTAAGCAAGCATAAGAATCACTTCTTGGAGAGTGTGTAAAAACAGGTTTTTGGGCCACACTCCTCTAGGATCTTCCTCAGTACATGTGGGGTGGGGCCTGATAATTCGTATTTCTTTCTTTTTTTTTTTTTTAAAGATTTTATTTATTTATTTGAGAGAGAGAGAATGAGAGACAGAGAGCACGAGAGGGAAGAGGGTCAGAGGGAGAAGCAGACCCCCGCTGAGCAGGGAGCCCGATGTGGGACTCGATCCCGGGACTCCAGGATCATGACCTGAGCCGAAGGCAGTCGCTTAACCAACTGAGCCACCCAGGCGCCCGATAATTCGTATTTCTGACAAGTTCTCAGATTGTGCTGATGGTGCAGGTCTATAGACCTAACCTCGAGTAGCCCAGTAGTTCTCAAAAGTTTTAGTCTCTGGACCCCTTTACTCTCTTTTTTTTTAATTGAAATATATTTGACATATAACACTGTTAGTTTCAGGTGTACAACATAATGATTTGATATGTGTTAAATGTTGCAAACTGATTGCAAGAGAAAGTTAACATCCATTACCACACATAGTTAAATTTTTTTTTCTTAGGATGAGAACTTTTAAAATTTACTCCCCTAGCAACTTTCAAATATACAATATGGTATTGTTAACTAACTATAGTCACAACTGTATGTGACATCCTCCATACTTCTTTATCTTATAACTGGAAGTTTGTATCTTTTGACTCTCTTCACCCATTTTGCCTACTCTGCCACCCAGACCCCTTTATTCCTAAAAATTATCGAGGTCCTCAAAGAGCTTTATGGGTTATATCTATTGATATTAACACTGGGAACATTTACATTGATTCATTTAAGATTTTTTTTTTTTTTTAATTTATTTGAGAGAGAGGATGAACACGAGCAGGGGAGGGGCAGAGGGAGAAGCAGGCTCCCCCCTGATCAGGGAGCCGGGCGTGGGACCCGATCCCAGGACCCTGGGATCGTGACCTGAGCTGAAGGCAGACGCTTAACTGACTGAGCCACCCAGGTGCCCTACACTGATTCATTTAAAAAGAGCTGTGATGAACTCTGCATATAAACAAGTGATATGTTTTCATGAAAAATACTTTCTCCAAAGCAAACAAAAATTTACTAAGCACCAAGGAGTATGAATGGCTTTCTTTTACATTTCTGTAGATCTCTTTAATATGGAGCTTAATGAAAGATGGTTTTTGCTTTCTCTCTGTTGTAGTTAAATTGGTTTGTGCGAGACTCAGTAGTGTGTATGTTGAAAGCTCTTTGTATTTCCAGGTGACTTACTGAGTAACCTGTTGCAGAGTCCTAGTTCAGCCAAACTGTTGAATCAGCCAATCCCCATCCTTGATGCGGAGAGTGAGTATATCTGTTCCCTGGCCTTGGAGTGCCTGGCCCATCTCTTCAGTTGGATTCCTCTGTCTGCCAGCATCACCCCATCCCTCCTAACCACCATCTTCCACTTTGCGCGCTTTGGCTGTGACATCCGGGCCAGAAAGATGGCATCTGTTAACGGCAGCAGCCAGAACTGTGTGTTGGGTCAGGAGCGCGGCCGGCTTGGGGTCCTGGCCATGTCCTGCATCAATGAACTCATGTCCAAGAACTGTGTGCCTATGGAATTCGAGGAGTATTTACTACGTATGTTCCAGCAGACTTTCTACCTCCTGCAGAAAATCACCAAGGATAACAATGCCCACACGGTGAAGAGCAGGCTGGAAGAACTCGATGAGAGGTAATGAAAACAGGTGTGGAGTCGGCCGTGTCCTGAGAAGGGGCCATGACTGTTTGTCACGCTGTGCTGCGTAGTGTCTGTAATCCTCTTTGGTTTCAGAGTGTGGGGCTCCTGATGAGGAATGGACAGGTAGGTGTGTACCAGTAAGTCTGAGCTTAGCTGGAAGGGCTAGGGTGGCTAGGGGGATGAGCCGAGCTGGGAAAGTGACTGTGAATTGTGTAGGTGTGTTGTCTTCCCCCCGCTCTGCCTCCTGTCCTCCCTTCCGCCCTCCCCCGCACCCCTCTGCCCCGTCCTCACGATTCGCCTGCAGGTCTGAGGTGGCGCAGGAGCCGAATCTGCTGCTCGTGCGTAGCCAGGAGCGTGGGAGGAGGCCGTGGAGGTACAGGAGCGCTAATGCCCCCTCTTCACTTGATGTTGCCCGCCAGTGTTTACTGTTGGACCCTTCCCAAGGGAAACCGTGCAGTGTAGAGGAATGGTGTTGCTCTGAGCTTCGCACAGACGGCCCACTTTCATCCAGAGACAGAGATGTGAATGAGGGCACATACTCACGTGGCGCACACTTGGGTTTCTTTGTTACCTCCCCTTGAGTGGAGCCGAAAATGACCTCGCTTTTCTTTCTGAAGTACTCCAAAAGATGACTCCGTCACGGTACCGTGAGGTGTGGTCTTCTGGATGATGTCCTTTATCTGTCCCACAGCTTTCGGTGATGCGATGCTACCGCCGTGTCCCAGCGAGCGGGAAAAGTGGAAACTTACATTACCAGCATCGTGTTGACTGTTCAGAAACATCCCGGCGGATAAATCGTATTGAGTTAGAAAATATTTATAGATTGCCAGGCAGCAAATGTTAATATCTTAATTCGTTTTCCTTGGCTTGTTTTTTGTTCCGAAGCTAGCAGAGTTAAGGTATTTTCCTTTTCCTTAGAGTTAAGTAGCAGAATATAAAGTCAAGTGTTTAAAGACCGTCCTAGTGCTTTTTAAATTTAGCAATTTTATTAAGGGTTTTCTAAAGTTAAAAACGTGGATTCTTAAGATTCTTTTGGTTTGGTTCATTGTAAACAAGCTTTGTGTGAAATTTTGTTTGTATAATCACAAAAGAGCTCATAATCCTGTATGGTGATATGTTGGTTTTATTTTTCATTATTTTGTAATAGCTTTCTCTATGAATGCAAAGGCGTCAGTATGCAAACACACAATTTTATATCCTTTCTAGCTTTCGTTAAGGAAGGCTGTATTTTCATATGTTAACAAAAAGTCCAGCTGCTCACACCAACCGTCAGGTATCGGCTGTTCTGAGTTGCACTTGGAGCACAGTGTTTGTGATGGCTCACATTCGGGCGGTAGAGAAATGTGGTCACGGCTTGTCAATGTAATGCTTTTGTTACGTGTAACTTTTGTGCTTTTGGTTTTATATTTTAATCCTGTGCTTCCTCTTGCCCTGAGAAAGCTGAGAGGTGCCTGGCAGCAGAAAGGTGACCTAAACAGTCCTGTGTGCTTGCTTCCTGGCTCTCGGGCCCCCGACCACTCATTCTAAACAGCTAAGTCCGTTCTCAGTTGTTTAGGAGCTTCTGACCCGGGGCCTCTGCCCCTCTTCTCCCCCAGTGCCTGTTTCTAACCTTCTACTGCTCATTAGCACCTGTGCCAGAAGGTGGGCAAGGGAAAGAAAATGAGGTGAAATAATATCTAGAGTTTCAGCTACCGAACGGCCCTTGTCTGTATGCTTCAAAAATTGGGTTGGAGATTAAAATGAAATCGAGGCAGTGCGGCATTTACCCAGGACTTCTGTTTATTTTATGGGTGGCAGGGGATTGAGTGCATCTTCCTAATGATGGCTCTGAATAACCACAGCAGAAGATCACGTGATAAGCAGAGCGAGGAATGAGGAGCTCCTGCTCTTGAGTATTCATGATCCAAGGCATCAGAGAGAAGTCTCCTCGTACTTGACTTTCTCTAAAAACAGCTGATTCAGATGCCTTACTGTGTTTCAAGGACTTGGTCCCATGATCCACAGAGATGGCCATTCTCTTTATCAAGCAAATTAATGGTTTTTATTTTTGTTTTTTTAAACTGCTAAAAAGCTTGCACGTACGTGTTAGCTACTAGCCGTGCAGAAGTCAGAGAGGCGGGTTGGCCGCTGGGTCCCAGGAACGGTGCGGGACATTGGATTTATGGACCGATTTTGCTCTTCTAAGTAGTAGTCTTTTTCTTCCCCCTTTATTATTTTGCATAATCCTTGCTTTAAAAAAAAAATTTTTTTTTTTTTTGAGTGGTGAGTTTCAGAATTGCCTGTAGCCATTAATTAATTTTTGACTAAGGCCTGTAGTGAATCTTTATCTTTGTTTATTGGTCTCTGAAATGTGATTTATGGAGGTATGTCCATCTCATTTTCTAATCACCTTTTGGTATTGAGGGGCTTACAATGACAGTTGCTGAAATGTGAGAGTGATGATGTGCTGTGTGTTTAGTAACAGCAGTCTCTTATCCTTGCAGCTGGGACCCACACTCCTCTGGGAAATGATACTGTGAATACACAGGAATTGGGGAGTCACTGTGCTGGGAAAGGAAAGAGCACTGGCGTGGGAGTGGATGGGGGTCCCACTCTGCCGTGAGCTGGCTCAGCAACCTCGGGCGGGTCACTTTATCACCCTGGGCCTCGTCTGGCCAATGAAGCACCAGACTCAGTTGTCCCCGAGGCCTGTCCAGCTCGGGCAGCCCTCCTCCCTTATTTTTGCAATCACTTTCAGAGTGGACCGGGGTGGACTTGCGTTTAATTACCCTGGGAGCCAGAGGGCGGGGCAGGGGGGGAGCACGAGCATTAGGTTGCAAGCCTGCATAGACTTTACCTGGATGCCATGCCATTGGTCTAGCCTTGTTTTGTTTTTGTTCTTAGCACATTCATTTAAATACTTTGGCCCCCTAGCAAAGACAAACAGCCTTCCGGACTTGCCACATTGAAATGATGCACATGCTCTGCCCACCGACTTCTTAGTACCTTTTCCTTTCACTTGAATTGGGCCATAACGTGAAGGAGTTAGAATCTGTGAGAGCACTAGTTTATAAGATGCCTTAATAGAGAGTGTCTGAGGATTAAAGTTGCTTTTCTGCTATGTTTCAGGTGGTAATGGAATGAAGGGTTGCCTGACCTGTAGGTAATTGTTGCAGGCCTTTATATTTTTAACTGAAAATGTATTTTAAATCTGTATAGTTCTGTACTGAAAGAAATTTGGATTGAATTTGAGTTTTCTTCTAAGGAGGTGGCTGGGATTCTGACTGTCACCCTTCGTCTTCTTGTCTTACTTAGCTACATCGAGAAGTTTACTGACTTCCTGAGGCTCTTTGTGAGTGTCCACCTGAGAAGAATCGAGTCCTACTCCCAGTTCCCCGTGGTGGAGTTTTTGACGCTTTTGTTCAAGTACACGTTTCATCAGGTAAAACACCAGAACTACTCATCCTTTCCCCCTGAAAAAAAGTCCACTCTGTTGCTTTCAGGGGAAAGAGCTTCTTTATTTCCCAAACATTTATATAGTACTTACTTTGTGAAGATTAACACATGTATCCTTTGTAACAACCCTTGGAGGTGGGTATTCCTAACTGTCTCCATTTTCCAGAATAAAGAAACTGAAGCACAAAGAGTCATTTGCTCAGGGTCATACAGTCAGTAAGTGGTGGGGCCAGGATTTGAACTCATAGAGTCTGTGTTCTTAACCACTGTTTTGTTGGAGAAACAAAAGATGGAAATAGTCTGAAATTAGGGCCTTTAGTTCTATTCTATAGCTGTCACTAAAACTCCCTACAAGGAGATTGTAAGTAGTGAAACTCTCAAGAAAGAGTTAAGTTTTGGCAGATCCGCTTTTAGCCCCCATTTTCTGATACTTTTTGAGCTTGTCTTGTATATCAGGGGCTTTTTGAACTTGTCTTGTATATCCGGGGCTAGGCATATAACCCTCACAAGCAAAGTCCATGCCTTCATTGAGTTTATATTTTGTGACCCAGCGTCTTTTATTTATATACATATGTATATTTTAAAAGCTTTCTGAAGTAAAATTTACATCTTACGAAATTCACCCATCGTAATTGTACAATTCAGAGATGTTCAGTCAGTTTATAGACTTGTGCAACCATCATCACAGTTGGGTTTCAGACATTTCTTTTTTTTTTTTTTTTTTTTTTGGGTTTCAGACATTTCTATCATATCCTCTCCTGCTTGCGCACCTGTGTGTCTGATTTATTTTTTAATTCCAGTATAATTAATGCAGTGTTACATTAGTTTCAAGTGTACAGTGTAGTGATTCAAGAGACAGAGAGAGAGAAGCAGAGGGAGAAGCAGGCTCCCAAGGAGCAGGGAGCCCGATGCGGGACTCGATCCCAGGACTCTGGGATCATGACCTGAGCCGAAGGCAGACGCTTAACCATCTGAGCCACCCAGGCGCCCTAGAATAAGGTTTTTATTGAAGTATCACATACAGAGAAGTGCACAGATCATACATGGACAGCTTGATGAATTTTCCCAAAATGAACAAACCCATGTCACCGCCACCTTAATCAAGAAATAGAACATTCCTGCCAGCATCCCCTATATCTCTTCCCAAGTCCTTCCCCTTCACTTCTCCCCATGTGGAACCCAACCCTGCTTTTAACATCCCAGATTAGTTTTGCCTCTTTGAGAACTTCTCTAAATGGAAGTCTCCAGTATGTATTTGTTCTGTCTGGCTTTTTCATTCAGCGTCCGTTGGTGAGATTCATCTGTGTTGTGTGTGGCAGTAGTTTGCCCTCATTGCTTTATAGTAAGTCATTATCTGCAGATCCATTCCATGGCTGATTTGGGCTGCTTTTGGGTTTTTGGTGATCATGAATGGTGATGCAGTGGATGTTCTCGTGCATGCTTTTGGGTGTCCCTGTGTAGCTCTTTCTGTTGGTGTATCCTGGTGATGACATTACTGGGTCAGTGAGGGCATGTGATTTTATAAGTAGACTGTTTTGGTAGTTTAAACCACTAATGTTGTAGCTTAATGTTGTAGCTGGAAGAGAGACACAGGCCTAGGCCGGGAGGGGAGTGTGTATGTGGTCGAGGGTATGGTGGTGAGCTTGGTTTTCTCAGGGCACATAAAAGTAAGCGCCCCCAGTGGGTAAGGGTGACCTGTTCCTGGGCGCAGCGGGGAAGGTGCAGGTGGAGGAGGACCAGGGTTGAGGAAGTGTCAAGATATCTGGTAGAGGGGCCAGTGGGCGTGGAGCTAGAAGGGCAGCATGCTGAGCTCACCAGACCTAAGAAGGAATGGAAGAGGTGACGAGATGTGGGAGGGTGAGGAGGTAGGATAGAAGCATTCGAGGTGGGAACGTTTTTTTTTTTTTTGAGGTGGGAACGTTTTGAGACGGATCCAGAGAAATGGATCCAGAGGGGACCAGAAGAAAGGATTCGGTAGATACCTTAGAGTAAGTGTAGCAGAAATGAAAGAGATGAGCCAGTGCTGAGGTCAGAAAGAAGGGGTTTATTTGGGGAAATGGAATGAAAATGTTTTGCCATTTTGCTCTGTGTGTGAAGTTTTCTATCTGCCCTTTATGTGCGGTATAGAAAAAAGCTAAATAGAAGTTGTTGTTTTTTTTTTTAAAGATTTTATTTATTTATTTGACAGAGGGGTTGCGGGGGAGAGAGCACACGAGCAGGGGGAGGAGCAGAGGGAGAAGGAGAAGTAGGCTCCCCGCTGAGCAGGGAGCCCAACGTGGGGCTCATTCCCAGGACCCTGAGATCATGACCTGAGCCAAAGGCAGACACTTAACCGACTGAGCCACCCAGGCGCCCCCTAAATAGAAGTTTTAAAGTATGCAGGTCTTATGCCTACTGCTTTGCACCTGGACCCAGTTCTGTGTTTGAGCTCTGGTTATTTCTATGAGGCCTGTGTCCTTGGACCAGTCATCTTAATTTCCTTAGATTTAGTCTCCTCACCTAAGGAGATGGACTGTGGTGGGCACCTTCACAGTCTGGCCCAGTGTTCATCATCTGTGGTCCCCTCTCTAGAATCCTATGTGTTCGTTTTCTGTTGAACTCATAGTGGTGGTTTTATATATTTATATGTGTTATATTTATATACTGGGAAAAGAAATGGCTATGGTCATGAAGCAAACAACAAGCTTCTTTCTCCCTCCATTAGCTGAGGTCACTCAGCCGAGCTCCCTTGTACTCTCTTGGCCTCCTGTATGAGGACCTTCCTTTCTGGGCACAGGCTCTCGGACTGTGGGAGTCGGTATCCTTTGGGTCCAGGCAGAAGCAGATTTGAGCATCAGGCAGAGGAGCAGGAAGCTGGAAGGTGCTCTGTGCAGTTTACTGTAGGCTGGGCCGTCCTTCCCTGGAGAGGCAGGGTGGAAAAAAGATGGCAGGGTGCACTCCAGGATCAGGAGCTGGTGGGAGTAGGGGACTTTTTTGGGGTAAGATTTAAGAATAAGAAATGAAGTGCTCTCAAGAGATAGCTTTAAGTTCTCATCTATTCATTAGCAGTGTGATCTAACTTTATCATAATTTAATTATCTGTGAAGTGGGAAAATGTACTTTACTCTTGTCTAGAGGGTTATGAGTGTACTCAAGTGTTTCTGCCTTTTGTTTCTAAAATTCATAGAGCGGTGCCTGGCTGGCTCAGTGGTAGAGCATCCGACGCTTAATCTCAGGGTCATGAGTTCGGGGCCCCCCATGTTGGGTATAGAGATGACTTAAAAAAATTCATAAGAAATTTTAGTACTGGTCACCATATATTGAAAGAATAGTAATGAGACAAAGATGGTGTTAGTATCTTTCTGTAACTCTTGCCTCTCTCTTAGTTTCTTTTCCTACATTTTTTTTTTCCACCAAAGTATCCGATCGCAGTGCCTCCAGCCCCCAGAGCTCAGCAGGTGTCCCTGCTGAGGTGTGCCTAGAAGTATCTGATTTCTGTCTTCCTGTCCTTCTCTTACCACATCGTCACCAGGTCCTTCTTGGTCTTGCATTTTGAACATCCCCCCCCCCCCCACCTGTCCTTCTTACAACAATGCCTGGGGTAGTGTGGCCCAGGGGAGAGGGCTCTGGACCAGGAGGCTTAAGTCCCACATTCTAGTTCTCTTTCTGTTCCTTATCTTGTCACGTTGGGCAGTGACTTTGCTTCTGAGTCTTGGTTTCTCTATCTGTAAATGGGAAGAAGAAAAGCACCTGTCCACTTTCCAGGGCTATTGTGAAGATCAAATAGACCAATGCAAATAACCACTGTAAAGTGCTTGGAGAAGGGTGGTATCACTAATTTCTTGAAGAAACTTGTCAGGCTCTTTAGTGATTGATCAGCCCTGGAGTGTGAAAAATAAATCTGAGTACAGGTACATTTTTAAAATGGGTCTGTGAGGGTTCTGAAACATTGGATGACTCCAAAAGTGCAGCCAGCCTGTCATCTTTATGAGCTTAACGATCTGTACCCACAGCAGTTGTCATAGGTGAGATTATGGGCAGTGCACAAGGCCTCACAGTGGGGCCTGCAGGTAGGGATGTGTTTCAGGTCCTACAGAGGGTGTACCTGCCCACCTTATTTTCTGGTCTTGAGCCACGTGGTAAATCCTCAATTCAGAGGCATGGGAAGGACGTGTATAATTGTAAGGTACTTAGACATAACCATAAACCCTGGGTTTGTGTGGTGACTTTTCCCAAAAGCACTTCCACAAGCATCTGATCAGTTATGTTCTGTGGAGGGGAAGGTGGGTGTTTTCAGATCTAGGAGGGACAACTGAGTGATCGACCTGCAGGAAGCTCAGCAAGCCACAGACAGGAAAGATTCCATCTCCTGTCTACAAGCTACCCATATTATCTCCACGTGGCTTATTGTTTTTTCTCCTTATTCTTCGGGCTCATTTCATGTCGTGGACATCCTGGGTTTTGCAAAGGATGAAGTGGAGACAGGAAACAGTCATTCTGTTTTCTGAGGATGGCCCTGTCGGTGATCCTTATTGAGCTATGCATTCCAGTTCCAGGGCGACCCTGTGGGTTGTGAGGTTGGACTCTGCCCGCATCTGCCCCAGAAAAAGTTAGTTATGGGTACAGAACTTCCATCTCATGCTACCACCCAATATGCAAATCCCACATACACCCTTGTAAGCCTCTGGATTTCCTTGTAGATCCTAAATGGAAGGAAACTGATCCTAGAAGATGATGGTATTATTTCTTTTCCTGTCTGATCCTGCCACCAAACATGGGGCTTAGTGAAGTAGTCACAAATAAAATCAAAGAGCTCTTGGAGGTAGCAGGAATTTGAGTGGATATAGAAGGGATTGGGGGCTGGAAGTTGAAATCGAGTATGTGTGAGAAGGACTAGATTTTGGAGAACATAGTGCCAAGATTTTGCATGAAGTAGAATCTCAAGGCTCTTGAGAAATTGGAGCACTAGGACCCTACAGAGACTCGCTCTTCTCTGCTCACTTTGTCTTTATCAACACCTGGTTAGAGATTGCTATTAGCCTGTTGGACACCCCTTCTTCTGCAGAGGAGATAATGCCTGAGGGTCAGAATGAAGCTCATTTTCGGTCTGTTTGTAGGAAGACTGCAAATGTTACTCTCCTAACCTTCAGATATGTAAACTTGGCACCTTCCGAGCCACTGCCACTGGGTTTTTGGTTTTGTAAGGGTATGTAGTGGAAAGAGCATTGGCTGGGGGTAAAGGGACCTGCTCCTACCCCTGACCTTGAATAAATCACGTCTCTGGATCTCAATTTCTTTTTCTCTAAAACAGATATGAATCGGATGATCTGTGAGAGCCCCCCCGCCCCGCCCCAGCCCGAATCAATCTTAGATTTAAAGATTGGCGTCTGCTCGGCTTATTTTGTAATTCAGTTTGTCCTGCATAGTATCTCCCTAATGATGTGTTTGCGGCACTCTTGTCTTGTTAGGATCACCAGGGCCTAGTCGTGAAGACCATCTAAAAGATACCAGTTGTGGTTACCGGGAAGCGGAGGGAATCTAGGCTTATGGTTGCACCATTCTGGTGGAAATAAACACTGGTGGGTATGTTTCTAAAGAGGAGTCGCATTAAGTAATTTCATTGTCTGGATTTCTTTTGCATCATAGCCTACTCATGAAGGTTACTTCTCTTGTTTGGATATCTGGACGCTCTTTTTGGACTATCTGACAAGTAAAATTAAAAGCCGTCTGGGAGACAAGGAAGCAGTTCTCAACAGGTAAACCCCAGAAACATTGATAAATAGAAATAGACAGTTTTGCCAGTTTTTCTTGTGGCCCGAAGGGATAGCCATGCAGCCAGACCTCTTCAGTGAGACTGGGTCATGTAAACTGGTTAGGTAGTTATGTCATTACGCATTTTCGTATTCTTTTTTCATATTCTCATTTTCTTAAAACATTTTTTTTCTGATTAAAAAAGTAATTTGTATTGTTAATGTTTTAGGTGTGACAATGTTTTCATGGGTTTGTATTTATTTATTTATTTATTTATTTTTTAAAGATTTTATTTATTTATTTGATGGAGAGAGACACAGTGAGGGAGGGAACACAAGCAGGGGGAGTGGGAGAGGGAGAAGCAGGCTTCCTGCCGAGCGGGGAGCCCGATGCGGGGCTCGATCCCAGGACCTGGGATCATGACCTGAGCCGAAGACAGGCGCTTAACGACTGAGCCACCCAGGCGCCCATGGGTTTGTTTTTAAATGGCCCTTATTTTAGAGATGAAAAACCGAAGTATTTATTGGATGAAATGAAACGACATCTGGGATTTGCTTTAGAGTAATGCACTGGGGATAGAGGGAAAAGTGGGTTGGCCATCTGTTGATAATTGATGTTGACCTTTATTGATGCTAACTTGGGGTTCATTATATTTGTGGTCTTTTTGTATGTGTTTGAAAATTTCCTAAATAAAGTAATAAAGGCTTGTGAAAAATAAGTATTTTAAAAACTAGGAAAAGATAGAAAAATATAAAGAAAAGTTATCCATAATCCCATAGTCCAGTGAAAATTACTTTTGTACTTTTTATTGTATTTTTCTTTTTTAAGATTTTATTTATTTGACAGAGAGAGAGATAGCGAGAGCAAGAACACAAGGAGTGGGAGAGGGAGAAGCAGGCTTCCTGTGGAGTAGGGAGCCCGATGCGGGGCTCGGTCCCAGGACCCTGGGATCATGATGTGAGCTGAAGGCAGACGCTTAATGACTGAGCCACCCAGGCACCCCTTTTTTATTGTATTTTTTAAAAACAGTAAATGGGGAAATGTTTTTTCCCCCATGTGTTTCTCAGGGTCATTTTTCTTATAGGCAGAAAGTGTATTTCCTGTACACTATAGTTATTTATTTCAGAAATGAAATAATGAGCTAATGCTTGGCACATTATGAATGCTTGCTCAGTAAATGGCATCAGTGGTTCGTGGTGGAGATAGTGAACACCGCTTCCCCAGAAATGTGCCAAATGGAGGTGGTGAGGCGAATCCCCGCCTGGGAAGAGGTTGGACTGACCTTCTCAAACCCTTTGTATTGCTGAGGTTTTATGAGTTTTTCAAATTCTAAATAGAATATTTACATTCCAGGTTTAAACATTTGCACTTTTGTTCCCAAAACATTATTTTTGTGATTGCAAAATAGCTCCATGTTGCTATGGTGTCAGGTCAGATGTGCTTTATGGGTAGTATATTCGTGTATCTGAAACTTCATTACACAACAGTAGATCCTGTTTTTGGTGAATTTGCCAACTGTAAGTGTGTTTTTGAATGAGATTCTTCAAAGAAAAGGTATTTCCGCCTTATTCTCTATTTTGGATGCTGAACAGTTGTATTCTTTGGTTCTGGGACTGTGCCTGATTTTGCTATATTTAGTGGTAGATATTCTTTCACATCTCTCAGGTTTGTTGGAAGAATAAACTGAGGAAATGATTAATATGCAAATGCTTTTTAAAGCACAGTACAAATGTGTTTAAGGTGTGGAGAATATGGTTTCATTGAGAAAATGTGTGCTGGCAGATTATTAGTATTAAATATACACTTGTGCATATTATTGTACCAACAGAAGGAACGGTGGTATAGAATTTAAATTCCTTTTCTGCTTCATGGGAGCAGTGTTACTTTTGGTCAAGTTATATGCTGATTACATTTCCTGTTGCAAAATGTGCATACTGACATCTCTTTTTTTTTTAAAGATTTTATTTATTTATTTGAGAGAGAGAATGAGATAGAGCATGAGAGTGGGGAGGGTCAGAGGGAGAAGCAGACTCCCCACCGAGCAGGGAGCCCGCTGCAGGACTCGATCC